AAAGGAAGATGATGTCTGAGGTGCCCACTGTACCCCAAACTTATTTATTTATTTATTTGTTTTGGTTCTTCAAAAATTATTTTAGGTCCAAAAACCTAACATCAAAAACGTCATCAAAAAAGCACAACAAAGAATGTTCCTTCTGCGCCAACTCAGGAAGCTCAAACTGCCCAAGGAGCTGCTGATTCAGTTCTACAGAGGAATTATTGAGTCTGTCATCTGCACCTCCATAACTGTCTGGTTTGGCTCTGCAACCCAACAAGACAGACACGGACTTCAGAGGAGAATCAGAACTGCAGAAAAAACAATGGCTACCAACCTGCCTTCCATTGAGGACCTGTACACTGCACGAGTCAAAAAGAAGGCTTTGAAAATATTTACAGACCCCTCACATCCTGGACATAAATTGTTTCAACTCCTACCCTCAAAACGACGCAATAGAGCACTGCACACCAAGACAATAGACACAAGAACAGTTTTTCCCCCGAACTCTTGATAAACAAATAATTCCCTCAACACTGTCAAACTATTCACTAAGGCTACATTACTAATACTATTAGTCTTCTCATTGTTCCTATCACCCATATCCTCCCACTTATGACTGCAGTATTGTAACTTTGTTGATTGTATCCTTAAGATTTATATTGATATTGTTTCCTGATTGCTCATTTGTACCCTTTGACTATCATTAAGTGTTGTACCTGGGTACTTGAGAGACCGCCTGCTGCCAATTACCTCCCAAAGACCCATCAGATCCCACAGATTAGGCCTTCTCCGGATTCCATCTACCGGCCAATGTCGATTGGCGACCACTCGGAGGAGGGCCTTCTCTGTGGCTGCTCCGGCCCTTTGGAACGAACTCCCCCGTGGAGATCCGGACCCTCACCTCCCTTCTGGCTTTCCCTAAAGCCGTTAAAACCTGGCTGTTCCGGCAGGCCTGGGGTTGATGAGTTCCCTTCCCCGCTCGAATTGTGTGACTGTTGATTGTTTTAAAATTTTCTTTGTATCCTGTTTGTTGTTTTTAACTTGTTTGTATTACCCCCTCCCCTGGGTTTGTTAGCCGCCCTGAGTCCCTCCGGGGAATAGGGCGGCATATAAATGAAATAAACCTATAACCTATAACCTACCTTATGAGTCTTGACGAATGTATCTTGTCTTTTTATGTACACTAAGAGCATCTTCACCAAAGACAAATTCCTTGTGTGTCCGATCACACTTGGCCAAGAAAAAATTCTATTCCATTCTATTCCATTCAAATATTGATCAGAGATATAAGACAGGATGAGAAGATTGTGGCATTAAAGATTTTTAAAAGAGATTTAAAAGTTCAGTGCTTTTGCAGATGACTTGGGTATTGATTTTAGAAGACCCCTCTAAAAGGCTGAAATATTAATGGGCAAATTAAAGAAATTTGGTGCACTGGCAGGCCAGATGACTAATAAACAGAAGATGAAGATGTTAACACAAAAATATGCAGATGGAAGATCAAACCGAATGGATGAGTAAAGCAGGTCTTAAGACCGAGAAGAAAATAAAATATCTAGGTATCCCTATGACAAATATGAACTTGATGCTATTTCAAAGTAACTATATTAAGACACGGAATAAAGTTAAAAAAATATACATCAAGGTGGGATAAACTACAACTGTCGTTGCCGGGCAGAATGTCTGTGATTAAAATGATGTTTTGCCTAGAACAATGTTTTTGACAACTGATGCGGCATTTAAACAGTGCCACAAGGATGTACCTACAATGTGTGCGGCTGGGAAAAAGGACACGGGTTAAATGTAAGATGTTACAGGATACAAAAGATCGAATTTACCTGACTTGAAATTGTGTGGCTTGCAATTTGGATTGGTAGAAAGAGTGGGCGTCATTGAGAAAAAGAAGGTTTTTGGAGTTAGAAGGACATGACCCGAGATTTGGGTGCCATGGATATTTGTAGCATGATAAAAATCAAGGTAAATGTGGATTTTAAAAATCCACATGTTAGATGTGCCATACTGGGAATATAGAATAGACACAAATCCAGGCTGTCCCGAACTTGTCTGTGTAATTCTAACCGCAAGAAGCATTTTATAGATGAGGAATAATATGTAAACACAAATGGCTAACTTATTGTTAAATACTAGAATTTTGTCCATGGGAGAATATAAAGTAAAATCATAAGAAGAACCAATGGCATAGCACCTTGTTGAAATTGCTCAATTAACTTGATTAGAGAAGAGACAATGCCTATATTTACTGGTGACTGGAAACCTCTTACAGAAGCAGGAAGCAGGAAAAAAAATGGTTTGAAGTTTTGATGATTATACAGAATAGAATGTAACTGAAGTGTAAGGTGTAATTTTATAATGGTTTTTATAACTGCTGCAAAAAGATTGAAAAATACTAAGTAGTTTTTCTTTATTTTTCTTTTATTTTTTTCCTACCTTCCACTTTTAGCTCCCCCCCTTTTCTTTCCCTCACTTTATATTAGTTATATCAGTTATATTAGTAACTATTACATTAGTTCTTTTTTATCTTTTAAAAAATCATTAATGAAATTACATTTGTAAAAAGAATGCAGAGGCATAATTAGAAAAGTATAAATCAGCATGGAACACATAGAATTCCAGCCAATTTCAGGTGTACCCCACTTTCCGTGGGGTACACCTGAAATTGGCAAATAGATATACCTAAGTATATTTAGGGGCTACATAAGATCCTTACAATAACTACAATTACTGCATTCAGTTTTGGTCGCCACGATGTAAAAAAGATGTGGAGACTCTAGAAAGAGGGCAGAAAAGAACAACAAAGATGATCAGGGGATTGGAGACTAAAACATGAAGAATGGCTGCAGGAACTGGGTATGTCTAGTTTGATGAAAAGAAGGACTAAGGGAGACATGATAGCAGTGTTTCAATATCTCAAGGACTGCCACAAAGAAGAGGGAGACAAACTATTCTCCAAAGCCCCTGAGGTCAGGACAAGAA